ACTTTGATGGATGGGGGACCTCAAAATCGAACTTTCAAAAATTTTAGATAAACCATGTTATAGAGCTCGAGGAGTTGACTTCAACTATATAGCACACTATATAAAAGAGTTGAAAATCAACCTAGTTGCAGAGAAAAAAAAGAAAAAACGCGAAAACGCGTTTTTTTCGTGTTTTTTTTTTGAACATTTAGGATGGGTATTGTACTAGGAAGAGATTTTTATTGTGTATCTTTTGACATATTTTTGTCTATGTCTACTTTGTTTTTGAAAGAGAGGAAAATGGGTACCGCACCAGCTGAGCGACGCAAATAAGGTAATACGAGTGGCAACGGCCAAAATTCTTCTTCGTTGCTCCAAGAACAGCCCTTTGTTGGACTCTATTGTTACATCAGATGAGAAATGGATCTGATTCGACGACGCAACGCGAAAAAGACAGTGGTTAGACGCTAGTGACACTCCAAAACCTACTTCGAAACCGGGCACGAAGTAGGTTATACACGGCAAGAAGGTGATGCTCTGTATTTGGTCGAACAGCGATTTGGTGTGCTTTCAAGTTCTGGATTCGAGTCAAACATTTACGGCGCACATTTGCGAAGATCGAGTGAATCGCGTAGATCAAGCTCTGCGCGTCAAGGTGTCGAAACGACGTCGACAAAATTCCTGTACGACAATGCTCCACGTCCACATGTCGCGAAAATCACTTTGGCAAAAATCGAGAAATTGGACTGCCTCATCCGCCATACAGCCCAGACCTGGCACCATCCGATTAACACTCCCAGGCCTACAGAAAGTCAACAAACCGCAAAGAAGTCCAACTCTGGGCGTTCAACAACTTCGAGTCGCAGCCGAGCGAGCTCTCTGAAAGAGGAATCCATTCTTTGCATAAATGTTATCAACAAGCCATTGATATTAATGGAGATTGTCTTTTGAGTTAATCTTGTTTAAATCCTTTTTCACAACTAAAGATTTTTTAACTAAAACGCGCATTTCTTTCCGAACAACCTGGTAATTTACCAAAGGATTTGCAATACAATACAAAAACAAAAACATCATAGCAATAATCCTATGTCAACAAATATTAAAGGAGAGGAGAGAATAAAGGAAGAAAAAGAAGGAGTAAGAAGAAGGAGGATAAGGCTCAAAAGGTAAGCACGTCTCCTAGAAGAAAGGGGGCAACGTGGAAAGTAAGGGAGGAGAGAAGCATGAAGGACGCATGTAGGAGACTTACAATTTGTGGTATTTTGCTGGGACCTTCCTTGTTTGTACAGAAAGGCTGTTTTCCTCGTGAAAAGAGAGCTCTTCCGCGAGATCCTAGCCCTTGACTCAAAACGCATGGAGAGGCCGCAGTACTGGGGTTCGCTGATAACTTAGCCAGTTACAAACGATTCGCCCAGTTCCTTATGCGAGTCGACGAAGGGGACCTTGAGCGGGAATGCTCATCATCTTACAATTTCATTATCACGTTGACGACGAGGTCAACCGACGGTTAACCGTCGCTTCGCTATAACTTCAGCTAAAGTGCTCCAAGCTGAAAGTAAGAGCGTTGGAAAGCTCTTCTCGTAGAGAATCGCAGCGGGAGTGCATTTGTCACATGTTTGCACCCGACTACGGATTCTTTATGGGTTTGGATCCTTAGTCGTACACAGCGCTTGCAAATGCTTAAACAACAGTGCTGGGAAACAGTGCGTGCTTCTCTGTGCTCATTTGGCCGGTGTTTAGTGTCAGTGCTGCACAGTTTCCGTCAAATGGAGAAGTACCACAACTAGACTTAATATACACAGTCAAACAGCATTTATCATAGCGTGGTCGTTTCATCCTGTCAGTTGCATACCAATAAGTGTCAACAGGCGTACTCTTAAATGGACTCGGCAATAGCGAAGGCGATGGTTCAATACTAGAGATCGATGGTGAGTGGTCAGTTAGCTCAACGTTCGATTAGGAGGCCTTCCATCTTTCTATTATCAGAATATCAGATCACATAATGGGTCTTTTAAGTAAATGCAGAATAGTTTGTTCCCGAGGAAGTACACTTCT